CTCGCCCCCGATTAGTGTTTCTACTGGCCCCTTTTTTACCGGTACCAGGTACTTTTTTACTACCTGTTTAGCCCTGGTTCTATTCAGGCTAAGCTGGTTCTAAAATGCGCTCTAACTGACTGAGATTGACCAGAGTACTCCTGGAATACTGTGTTTATTGTGGGTAGGTTGTCAGGACCAGATACTATAGCACAATGGAAACACAACCAAGAAGAGTAGAGGCGAGTAGAGTAGGGCCAGTTGGGCTGATAGAAACTAGTATACTAGTAGTTAAGGAGCTAATGTAAACAATTCAGATTAATATATTTGCCATTTCCAGTAAAACCACATTGGAATACATTTGCAAAAGTCCCTAGTGTGCATAAGATAAGTACAGAAATTAAAACAAACAAAACGGTAAACCATTGACACTGTGAAATCGATCAGCTAAAACAATTTCAGTACAAAGGCAAGATCATTAAAGTGCTCTGTTTAAATGATAACAGCTTGTGGAAAGAAGCTGTTTGCATACCGACATTTTACCAAATCAGACCATTACATGCTGCCTTCATGTTGAGCCCTGTGAGTCACAATTGGACACTTACGGTTGAAAGCTGATTGGCCGCCTGAGAATGGACCTGTCTTTTTCACTTTTCTGTCTTAAAAACCGGAACCAAATATCTGACAAAGGCTATTAAAACAAATGACAAACTATTTTGATAGGAGGGATGTTGGATGCCTTTTTAATTACATAGTTCCAGTTTTTTGGCACCCCAGCTTTAATAACATTATCACTGTCTTTCTGCACAGTCGCAAATTCTGAAGTGTCCACGTGGTTTATAATGGCATTAATGGATCTTGAGCCCTATTATATTTAGCCTCAAATCTCTCTGCCTCGGGTGACTCGGGTCTGGTCTGCGTTCAGCCTATGGAAAAATAAATGCGTAAAAATAGCACGTGTGAGATGGGAAACGCTGTCGAAAGATGAGAACCACTCTGGGACTGTGTGTGAACGGGGTGAAAAGTGCTGGATTTTGACACTGGGAACCTGTTTTTCATCTTCCGCGCGCAATGAAGTTCGTTTCTTTTCCCCCATTGTGCCAAGATGGTGCGAGACAGAGCCGAACGACCAAGTATTTAATGTGGAAAAAACATTGAAAGATGAGCTCAAGTTTCAACGGGGGTGTAGTTTATTGAGGGAAGTAGAAACGTGGTGGTTTACGTCAGCGTGAGCATGAACACAAAGCCGCCTCGACAGGACCTGGCTGCCTGTGCGTAAAAAAAACCCAGCTTTTATTCATCCATCCACATCCAGAGCGCATGGCTTTATACCCCCCCCTTTTTTTGTCTGCGTTTTTTAACCCTTCCCCGCTGAAAGTGAAAACCCAGGAGAGCGCGGAGGAGGAGTGTTTGGGTCCTGTGTGTGGGGGGGGAGGCGAGGGCGGTGAAATATCGGAGACAGATCTCTGCTCTTTTACGCAAAGTCCCTTGTTTTTTTTATTGTTTGCGCGTTCGTTTTGTTCGCTCGCTGCGTGGAGGGGAAACGGAACGCTGTCAATTCTGGATTTCCTGATTCGCTTCCTCTCGTCCAGGATGAGGTTCAAACGGAACGGGTCGTACACGTTGAATAGGTGAGTAATCTCGTGGTCCCGTAACTTACTATTGTATCATCTTCATCCACGCACCGGGAGACGGGAGGCGAGAGGCATTGCGCGCGGTCCCATATATCAGGACCGAAATCACTTTGACTCTGAACCAGTGGAGCTTCGTGACACATATTCTCCATAATTGCACTTATCTTGAATCTATTAATAACTTTAACAGCCCTAAGAGGCTATAACAGTTGAAAGGTAGCACATGATAGTAGCCTAATAATATTTATACAATCACGAATGTGGATTTGAATGTCCAGTGTATGGGCTATGTTTTTTGATTATGCTAAACTGATTCAAATGTTTTAATTTTCCAATGAAGTAACATGTCTGCACACGTGTGGGTAATTTGTATGTGTCTAGTGTAACCATTCTTGTTGTCTTTAGGTATAATTATTGATCATATTCCAAAAATGATAATAATAATAATTAAAAAAAAACATAAATGATTTTTGTTTTAAAAAAAGATTCATTTGTGGAAAAATTCTCACACACTCCCTAATGTCAAGGGAGAAAAACAATAATTGAAACATGGTTATGATTTGATCTTTTGCCAAACCAAAGCTGTGGAACAATGGAAATGGTGTTGAGTGATGTCATCCTTGGTCATTGTGGTGCCCACGTGGAAGTAGGTCTCAATCAGGAGAAACCTGTCTGTCTGGCTCTGAGGGGGCTGCTGCTGCTGTTGCTTACTCTCATTTAGCAATACTCCCTCTCAATCTCTGTCCTCCTTTTTCCACTGAAATGCCTCAAGTCCATGCTCCCATCGTAGCAACTCTGTGCCTTCTGTGTTGTATTTGATTCTTATTAATAGCTGGAAATGATCACTGATTTTGACACCTTTTTTCTGTCATCTACTAATGAAGTCACACATTTCTTGAAAAAAATAGAGTAATTGTTTCATGCCCTCAGGAAACACATGGCCCGCTCTTATTCAAGTCTTGCCTCTATTGCCAGCCTGCCTTTTGCGATAAGACTTTTGAAATCTGAGGAAACAAACTTGCAAGGTCTTGTGAGCGTATTGTTGAAGTGGCAGGTGATTTAATGTCATTCAATACGCTTTATTTCCTTCTTTTTTTGGCGCACACTTCCTCTTTGGCCTTGTTTAAGTGCCACATGGCCTTTCACTGCACTCCACCAGCACAAAACCACATCCTGGCTCCATAGTAAGGCAACACAAAGGAAGCTAATGAGTGCCAAGCTCCAACACCCTCTCCATCATGCAGCTGGAAATGTTATCGCTAAACAGACTTTTATCTTTTGTCTCTTCCCGAATCATGAGCTTAATTGTGTATGATTATGTTGTTGTGCATATAAGATGAGGCAACAAAGAAGTGAAAGTCGGTCTATAGGCTGCTCCCGATGACGTCACTGGATGTAAAAAGTGCTGCGTTCGCTTTGGCCTGTGTGGTGCAGTTAATCATTGTCGCAGCCAGGTTCGGAAAGTATTATGTGCACAGTGATGTTGCTATGCTCTCCTGTTTCTATTCTATTTTGGTTGTGATTAAGCGAGCATTAAGCGAACCCGATACAATAAAATGCCATGCTCTGTGGAAAGATTGATCAACTGATGTGATGACTGTTTTCCATGTTACTATTCTCTATTAAAGCACTACTTTTGTTACTCATTTTCAAGGGTAAAGCAATGGCCGTTTTATCCTTGAAAAACTGTAATCTTCCTTAGTTGAGAAATCTCACAGTGGACTTAATAAAAATGAGAAGAATCTACAGTATTTAGTCTCAGTGTCTGGGGGGAAATGAATTGACAGTTTAAGCATCTTTGATACAATAATGTGTAGGCTTCTGTTTGGAGTGGATATACTATTTTATTACTTCTCAAATAATGTTAAAATGATAACTTTTAGTAAGAACCCATAAAACTAAACTACTACCTAAAGCCCTGTACATTACAAATGGAGCTTTAACAACTGATGTAATTACAACTAAAGTTTTAAACTATTTTATGAATCATTATCATAATTTTAACAGCTGAGGATATGAATACAGATAACACAATTATTTGTTGTAATCTCACATGTTTTTGTCTGTAATTGTGTACATTTAGTATAGATCTTCATCACATTTATGTAAAATATTTATCTTTGAATCCTAGAGTACTAACTGGATAATATTCCTAACCCTCACCAAAAGAATAATGATATTTGGTATAATAATTCTCAAAATTACACAGGTACAGTAATATGTTTACAGGTAAAGAGTAGACTAAAGGTTAATTGAGATTTTTCAACACAAATGTTCTTTGCAGAGAACATTATTTCATATAAATTGCTGCATTGAGATCTGAAATACACCAAACAAACAAGTGATTTTATAGTTATTGCCGCCATTACATAACCGCAGCCCTCTGAAGGTGACAGTCCCCTTGCCCGGCAGCCTCTCCATCTTCCCCCGTCAGGATGCAGTCACCAGTCTCTCTTCGTCGCCTGCTCCTTCCCTCTCTTGCTTTTTTTATCACAGTCGGTTAATCTGAGCCGATGCTGAGTCTCCTGAAGAGATCACAGCGTTTGATTACATGCATTGACTTTCGCTACGCTTCACCACTGCAGTCCCCGGGCCGCCAGTGCGCACGTGTACATGATGCTTGAAAGTACAACGCGATCGCCGTTATTGAACTTGAGTGGTGGATGGAGCAGCAGTGATTGGAGGAAAAGATGTAATGAGACCCATAATTCACCCAGCGTCCTTCACCTTGTTTGCACCGCATTGGAACAAGCCAACACTGATTGGTTACTTATCGGAGGGCTCGTCACTGCATTAGCCCCTCCCATACCGTGTCTCTGCATCATTTTCTGTGAATGAAGATACACGTGAACTGATGCGTACCTCACTTTGGCTGCAGATAGTTATTCCTGTATCGTGCAGTATCAACGTCAACAAAATCCTTATCACTGGTATTTCAACTTAAAATTTCACAAATGGTCCACAAAGGTTATATGTTGACTAAATTTGTGTTGATCTAGTCGTCTTTCCACTTCTGTTTCCACTGTTCTGATTTTCAATTGGAAAATCAAAATTATTTCATGTTGTTGTAATTTTGGGATTCACAGAAATAAGTTTAAACATTGATTATTATTTTTTTCTCTCTCCTGGCTGTACACAGTGTTCTCAAAAGTCCTATCTCTCAGTATTTTGAAACATGACTGGACACGCCGCAGTGATAAACCTTTTTTTTTTCCTCTTGAGGAGTGGCTTTGTCAGGATCTCGTCTCTGGTCTGATTTGGCCAACAGAGCAACGTGTTTACATGCGAGACATTGCGACAGCGTGTTGTGTGGTGTGTATACAGTGGGCCCCAGATGGCTTGCTCCTCCTTGAGCAGTGTCCGTGTCATCTCCCCTGCAGTCCACCCATGTGCCGCTCGGCCGTCAGCAGTTTGTTTATGAGGACCCTGTTTGCCAAAGCTAATCTTCCCGCCTTTCAAGCAGAAGCCAGCAAGTGAACGAGGGAGTGAGAAGCAGGGAAGGGAGGGAGGGAGGCATGGAGCAGGAGTGTAAAAGAGGCATGCAGTCGCTTTAGTTGGAAAGGAGAGGGGAAGGGGAACGTGCCTAGTGTCTGTTTACGAATCCAGCATTGGCCCGTCAGCTATCCCCCTTCTCGCGTGGAGCTTTGGGGGAGGAAAAAAAAAAGTCTGACGCAGTTTGTTTAGATGCGGTGCTGGGGCTGGGGGCTGGTGTCTTGCTGCACCTGTACCCAAGTTTGGAGCGCAGGACTGCAGACGGAGCAGCACACGGGGCTGGACGCGCTGCACGGCTCTGCCTCGTCAGCATCCGGATGGGAGTCTTGGTGTGTTGCGACTGCTTCTTTTATAGGTACCATAACATAGCTGTTATTCAGCTCTTGAACTGGCTGACACATCCTTCCAAATGCATAACTTTTGAGTAAATTGTTTGTGTTGCTCGGTTTAGCCCATCACGTCACTGTATTCTCGCTGTGTTATTGTGCTGCCGAACACATGAGGACAGTATTGCTGCCGTAGTGAGATAAGATTCTGCTCTAGTAGGAGCGGGCTGATTTGACTTGAGAGGGAGGAGTTGGAGAGGACAAGAGATAGTGACGGTATGACTGGTGGCAAGTTGGTGGGTAGTTTAAATGCTTATGTGTTTGCATTTGTGTTTGTCCTGCCCTCTAATGACATGCCCTTTTGGCTGTTGTTTGGACATGCTGTTCCCTCACAAGGATGCAGCTCGCACGTGTTCCCTTTCCCCTGTTTATTGTTTGCAGGACATGTCACTGAACAAACTTTCCTCTTCTGTCCGTCGCTCACACTTCTTAGCCCTGCAGTGCACACTTCAAACTTTAGTGCACACTTAAACCCAACTGCTTTCTCGCTAGTAGAAAGAAAGAATCTGCAGCCCCTCTTTTTGTGGTGCTGGGGTTAGCCAGTGAGAGCTCAACTTTACTGCTGTATAAAGACTAAATATATCTTGCGAGTTCTCGAGGGGCCTTTTTGATGGCAAGGGTGAAATTATAGCGTTTACTCAGGCTATGCTACATTACATCTGCAATGAATTATGTTTTGCCAACATGCAGAACTTTGTTGATGCTTCTCTCTATCTCTCCATCTTAACCAATTGCCTGTCAGAATGTTATGTGCGTGCCAGGAGTCTATAATGTTATTCTTCCACGTCATTATGAGGTATGGGAGGGACAAAGCTCATTAAACCAGTGGGCTGTTGAGTTTATTTTTAGCTTTTCCTTGCTCTTTGACGTCCCTGGGCCAATCAGATAGCCCGATGGTGATGTTATATGGTTTGACTGATGTGTGTTTTTGGAAGGCACACCCATCCGAGCAGGTCCTCATTGACCTCAGGCTGGACCGAACCTCCCTTGTTCCCCTGGGCTCTGGGATTTCAACAGAAGTATTGTGTGGGTTACAAACTGCCGTCCAGAATTCTGACAACACAATATCAATTTTAATTTGGAGAAGAATATGTACTCTCACAACTATTAAGACAAATCTACATATTTCATAACTGACTCCAGAGTTTTCATCAGATTTTCATACTTGTAATGAAAGTGTGGTAACTTTTCACTTGTAAGTGTGCTGTTTTGTTCAATATTTTAGGGTTTTACAATTGAGTTTGTTCAACTATAGGGAATTTATTGTAGAACAGAACTGTTGTCAAGCTTGTATTTCAGTAATGACATGGTCAGCCAGGTCTAAAATATGCATTTCAAAATAAGAATTTCATAACTGCATTAGCTTTAAAGGTGGACGGTTAAAGGGATGAGATGACTGACAGTGCACTTTGAAAGAATGCTTTGTCATTACTCAGGGGAGAAAATCATTTTGGGCTTCACTCTATACTCTGCAGAAGGTACGCCGGCATAGAGGCACTAGAGGGACATCACTTTATGGGATGGCATTAAAACTCTTCAGTCCTGGATCGGTCAGTTGAGTCCCCAGCTCAGTCCTTGTGGGTCTCGTGTCGCTCTGGGTTCACCTTCTGCGAGGGCAGTTTCTCACAGTTACATAACCACATGCTGTGTGTGCTGCTGCTTCAGGAGATCCACAAAGAGATGGCCTTGCACTCGGCTCACCTCTGCTCTGTGACAGTCAGCACTCTGCGCCCGTCCTAAACTCAATGATCTTTTCTTACAATAATTCATTTCATGCTAAATTATTACGGTTGTTCTTTAATTTTAATGAAAGGGGATTGAAAAAGGAGTTTTGAATGTAATGTATGACGCTGTTGTCAGGCTGTGAAGGTGTCAGAGAGGCTCTATGTCCAGTGTTCCTTCCCTATTTGAGAATAAGAGGTGCATTTAGGGGAGGCAGGAAGTTCTGGGGCGCCTCACTTCCTGTTTGTGGAGTTTGTCCCAGTCCACATTGAGCAGGAAAGCACAGTCTGGTGCAGAGTAATTGAATGAGAAAGACTGGTCAGCAGAGGTGATTAGTACTCTGTTACATTAACTTAAGCACATCGACTTGAGTAACACAAATTACAGTTTTTATAGATTTTCACTACCTCACATTTAAAATAACCGCTCTTATTCTTAAGTAAAAGTTCTGGTAATTTTTACAACTGTAGCACTGTCATCCTGAAGACTATAATTTGTACTACAGGTTGAAGAAATATCTTTTTATTTGTGGAAATGCAAAATGCTGTCCTGTTTTTTCAGCTGAATAAATATCATTATACATCAGGTGTGGTTTCCAGTTTGATATAATCTTATCCTAGTTTGCTTCATTAGTTTAACCCTTAATTACATTATTATTTCTAAAACTTTATCTCATCTCTATGCTATGCACCATTCACATATTTCAGTAACTGTTTGAGGTTGTTTTTATCTACCCAGGTTTGAGGTTGTTTCTTTATCATTGGTGTTTATGCAGCTATGCACCTATGGCAGCAGTGAACTCTCATGTGTTTAAACATCAGCCACCGGGCATGATCCTGTTACTAAGGATAGAACAAAGGACGTCAAAGGCTTTGAATGCAGATGTTGACCTGCATGACTCATGTGATCAACGCTGCTCTGCTGACTGTCCTTCAGTGACATTACAGCACTCTTGCACACGTTGTTAAATATCCAACTCCTTTATGGGTACTCATTTTTATTTGTTGAGCGTAGCTAACCAGGGGAGTCTGCTTCATCCAATCAGACTTTTGTTCAACCTATTGATGTAGGGCTTGACTATATATCCTCAAAATGCTTTCTTATCTCTTGTTCTGTGGAATAGATTGACCATTGTTGACTCCTTAGAGCAGACGATGTGCTGATTGGTGCTGGTTATTGAACACTCTCTGTACGGCTGATATACAGGGCTGTCGTTCAGCTGCTCCAAGGACATGTATTGATTTGACCTCTCCGCGTCTCCTTTCTGTCCGCTGCTTCCTCCCACACGCTTACTCACTGACGCACCATCTGTAGGTGGCGCACACGGTTTTGTGTTGCAATGAATTGGAAATGGTCACTCAAACATGACTTTTCAGACAGCCTATCTACATTACGGATCTCGCTCCAGCCGGCAACAAAGTGCAGATTCTGTCGGTAGATTCGCTGTCGTCGCCGCTATGTTCTGCTTGGGAATAACATCAACAAAAAGTCTTGGAATTTCTATGTTTTTGTTTTTCTTTGTCTCCAGGCCTCTTCCGCAGCTTTCCTCTTGCTTTAATGTTGAGAATAGACTATAAACAAATAGAAAAATACATCTGTCATTTCAGACAGACTCTTAATGTCATTTTTCGCCCGCATTTTTTCAAAGGCATATATCCCAACAAGTCGTCTTTTTCACAAGCACAGCATATTCTTTTTGGACAAAAACTAGGCGTGACCGTTTCCCACGACTTGGCTCAGTTTAGCTATAAATCAAGCTCACACAATAGAACAGTTTCCAACACAAACCGTTGAGGGCAATGTCTTGTTAAGTCATTAAGAGATGATTGATGCAGATTTTTTTCAATCAAAATAGTTGAAGATTGTTGCAGACAAATGACACAATAGCGTTGCACCCATGGATCTTGAGTTGAGTAGTGTAAAAATCAAATTCCGCAGATATGATGGCACTGGCTTAAAATCAAAGTTCGAGGGTGTGGGTAGTGGGTCTACAGTTTTTCCTGAACTTTACTTTGCCAAATGCGTAAGAGTTGCTATTTTAACGGTTAATTTAAGGTGAATTTATTTAAAGTCATCTAACCATTGTTCGTTTACGTACGCATTGTTGCATTTTGTCTAAGACTCATTCTAACAATTAAACTTTGTACTTCAAACCGCTGGGCTTTGGACCAATTTTCAGAGTTTCCTCCGATTCTTTCAGCTTTTGGACTTGGTCAGTTTGTTCTGTTCAGTTCGCAGCAAGGGTCACAGGCCAAAGAGAGACCGGGCAGAACGACAAACTCCACCAGTGCTGTGTTCATGTCCATGTGCATGCCAGAGAGTCTAGCCATGTTGAACTCTGCGTCTGCTGCAACAGGAAACGGAGCTTTTCCCCTGGGAACATGGACCCCCAAACCCTGTGCTTTCATCTGTTATGGTTTGCATGTTGCTGGCTTAGAGAATGCAGGGAGCTGTTATGTAACCTGCCTAAAACACACTAATGGGATCTGACATCTTATGGCTGCGAGCTGATCTAAATAATGATTACCACCACTGCCATAAGCAAAACATGTTTTGTTGTCATTTCATCCCATGCTCTTTTATAACCGCAAGATTCTCTGCATTCTTTTAAATCCCATTTTTACAGTCTCTGTGTCAATCATTGTCAAAGTTAACTATGTGCAACCTGTTAAAGACTTGTCGCTAATTGCCGTTGTTCCTCACACATGAAGAGGCCGTAATGTTTGGTACATATTCTCAATATTTCACATGAACTCATGAAGGCTGTTACGGCAGTACATCTGTTCTGAGAATAGATGGGCTCCGTGCATTCCCCTCTGTAAGAAGTCTGTGACTAAATGGCCTTGCTTAGGAGGTAATGAGCTGGATCGGGCTTGGCATGCACGAGCTGTAATCCCAAAAAGCAAAGACTTTGTACAGAACCCCACACCCTGCTTGTTATCTCTGCGTCACTTGCTTTAGGGACCCACTGAAAGACCCACAGTGCATGTAGTATGTTTCTGAAATGATTTGGCCTTTCATCATTTTAACTACATTAATAGACAGAAGGCTGTACTTTGCGAGGAAGCTTTAACATTCTGTACCATTGCATGAATAAAGTTCTTTACCATGGTACAATGTTTTTGTTCAATTTTTAGACACATTAGTTTACGTCTGCATGATTTATTCATAAAGTGAGATTTATTTTTTGCCCCTTTTGTAAATTTTGCCAAACATATACAGTATTATGATGAAAAACATGTCTTTAAATAATTTAGTATTAAACAACCTAATCCTAGTTTTTCTTTTTCTTTTGAATAAATAATGGTAGGCTCAAAGTCACAGCCGGGTGGCAGAGTGGGTAGCACTTAGACCTCTCAGCAAAACCGTCCAGGCCTTTCTGTGTAGAATTTGCATGTTTCTCCCCCATCTGGGTGGATTTCCTTAGTGTACTCCGGTTTCTCCCACCCCCCAAATTTGCACCATAGATAAAATCCTCCAGCTTTGGTAGCACCAAGCTTCAACATCTGGAGATGGAAATGCTCCTGACTACTTCCACTACTGGTGTCCTACGATTTAACTGACATCACCTAAAATGCTTTAAATATTATTATTCAAATATTAATATCCATTGTTTGTGCCAACTTACTCTCATTATAATCTTGAAGGGAAAAGCTGATACGTTTCCCAGTGTGAGCCCAGTGAAAATATATTATTGTCCTGTATACTCACTCATGCCTAGTTTTCATACCTCTCAATTTAAGTTTCATATCCAATGTTTCTTTGACCTTTTCTGCATCATGCATCTTAGTTTCTCTGAATGCAGCTCTTGAGTCTATAGCGTCCGCCCATTACAATACGCACATGTGTCCTTTGCAAACACCTAAGCCTTCTTGACTTGATCCTGCTATTCCATGACGTTTGTTCCTCTGTATCAAGCCCCCTCCTCTCACATCTGTAAAACCTGCACACAGACTACTCCTTGTGCCTCTGAGCAAACACAAGCCTATATTTGACCACATCCCCCCCTTCCCGGCTCCATTGCACCTCTCTTTTGCGTCAGCAGCTCCCAAACCTCACCTCTGCCAGGTTTGAACAGAACATCACTGTTGCCTCTCGTATCTATTTTTACCAAAAAAGGTTTTATGTTAATATTACTTGACTATAGTTGTAGTGGAAAGAAGCTTAAGATTTTTACTGCTCTTTTTAAAGGATGCTGGCATCTATAAAAATGGTGTTCTGGTTCAAATAAACGCATGTGAGCCAACATCCACGCCCTCTTACATAACCTGGTGGGGAAAAGTTGAAAGAATCATTGTGGGGCTGAGAGGTTGTGTAATTTTATTGTAGAAATGTTTCCAGAATAAAAATGGCAAGTGCAGGATAACATATTTCAAATCGGCCTATTCCAGTAATGGGAAATTAATGTGATGAATAATTCCCTCTGTGCCAATGTGAGCTTGAATTGGGTTTAAACTTAAAAAAGGGAAAGCTGAGATGTGGAGATGGGACTAAAGCCTCTTTTGGAGCTGAGGTTTTTCCAGTGACATTGAAGGATGGTGCACATAGAGAGCAGATTTTCCCATGGGGTTAATAAAGTTTACCCATAACCTTACATTTAAAAAAATAAAATCCTTTGACGCTTCTTTAATGTATTGCTGGAACAACTTATAATGGACTAAGTCTTAATACTCAGGTAATATTTGTATTTTTAATCTTTACATGAAATACAAACACAAAGCTCTCAGAATTATCATTATAAAAGTCAACCAAAAACATGTGTAACTAATATTACTCATACTTTTTGTCATATGTGTTAATAATCCATGGGGGTCCTTTTTGTGCTAGTGGAATAATCCAAAAGATAAACATTGAATATTGAACTACTAAAATAATCTCAAGTTAGTCTGATTAAACTGTCAAAACAATATTCCCCTCACTGTCTGACTCGATCTCTCCAGCAGAGGGCAGTGCTGCCCCCAAACACTAGGGGTTGTTTGGAAGGAATGCATTTCTCTGGCAGATTTCAGCCCATGAAC